GAGCAATTTGATTAGTATAACAAATAGCGAAAAGCAAACTTGCTCTAGCTCTACAAGGGTTGCAAGCCACCTACCCAACAATTCTAGTTGTTATGATCACTAGGCACACAATTTACCAGGCCACTACTCACTAAGAGCTCTCACAATTGCTACACTAAAGAGCTCCACTAGATGAACTTAACCCACCAAGCAAGCTCTCAATTCTAGCTACACTAAAGAGCTTGTTATAGCTAGTTTGCGGGAATGTAAATGAGTAAGTGAGGTGATTATACCACCGCGTAGAGGAGTGAATTAATCACAAGATGAATACTTTATCAATCACCGAGAGAATACCAAAGGGCAAGAGACAACCAATTTTCTTCCGAGGTTCACGTGCTTGCCAACACGCTATATCTCCGTTGTGTCGACCAACACTAGGTGGTTCGGCGGCTAAGAGGTGTTGCACGAACCTCATCCACATAATTAGACACCGCAAGAACCAATCCACAAGTGAGGTAACTCAATGACATGAGCAATCCACTAGAGTTACCTTTCGGCGCCCCGTCGGGGAAGGTACAAATCCCCTCACAATCACCGGAGATGGCCACGAACAATCACCAACTCGTGCCAATCCTCCTCCGCTGCTCCAAGCCGTCTAGTGGTGGTAACTACCAAGAGCAACAAGCGAACCCCACAGCAAAAACACGAACACCAAGTGCCTCTAGATGCAATCACTCAAGCAACACACTTAGATTCCCTCCTAATCTCACAAAGATGATGAATTAATGATGGAGATGAGTGGGGGGACTTTGGCTAAGCTCATAAGGTTACTATGTCAATGCAAATGGCCAAAAGAATGAGCTTGAGCTGGCCATGGGGCTTAAATAGAAGCCTCCACGAAATAGAGCCATTGTACCCCTTCATTGGGCACAACGCAGGGTGACCGGACGCTCCGGTCATATTGACCGGACGCTGGACCTCAGCATCCGATCACGCGATGCGTGCCACGTGTCCTTTCTCTTCAAATGTTGATCGCCCGATCACAACGGTCAAGTGATGACCGGACGCTGAACCCCAGCGTTCGGTCATTTCCAGTAAGCATCCAAAGAGGACTTTTCACGATCGGACGTGTCCGGTCATGCTCGACCGAGACACACCTAGTGTCCGGTCACTCAATGTCTCCTCTGCGCGCCCTACGTCAGCACTGACCGGGCTCAGACCCTGAGCGTCCGATTAGTTTTTGCACCAGCGTCCGGTCATGAGACCGAAATAGCGCGCCCTCTGCTGCCACTGACCGGACGCGCCGGTCCAACCGAGACCAGAGTTCGATCACTTATAGTGACCTTCGTCTTTTCTATATAGGGCGCCGGTGGCACAGGCGGACACTCCGCCAGTGAAGTTTCTAACCCTTGCTCAAATGTGCCAACCACCAAGTGTATCACCTTGTGCACATGTGTGTTAGCATATTTTCACAAACATTTTCAAAGGTGTTAGCACTCCACTAGATCCTAAATGCATATGCAATGAATTAGAGCATCTAGTGGCACTTTAATAACCATATTTCAATACGAGTTTCACCCCTCTTAATAGTACGGCTATCGAACCTAAATGTGATCACACTCACTAAGTGTCTTGATCACCGAAACAAAATAGCTTCTACCATTTATACCTTTGCCTTGAGCCTTTTGTTTTTCTCTTTCTTCTTTTCAAGTCCAAGCACTTGATCATTACCATGGCATCACCATCATCATGTCATGATCTTCATTTGCTCCACCACTTGGACTAGTGCTACCTATCTCATAATCACTTTTGATAAACTAGGTTAGCACTTAGGGTTTTATCAATTCACCAAAACTAAATTAGAGCTTTCAGGCTTGACATAGGTAATTCCCTCCCGGTTCACTAGTCATATAGTAACATAGCAATGTAGTAGATAAACATAGTTCATTATGCATTTGTAAAGCATAGGGATGCATAGGGGCCTGCCTTGAACGTCGTTGCTAGGCTTGATAGCTTCTTCCTCCTGAGGCTCCTCCTCAACAGGTTCTTCGGGAATCGGGTCACCTATACATGCATGATGCTTGATGAGTGAACTGTATAAAGTACATGCTCATGCTATGTAATGATTCTTAGTTGTTTATGCTTTAGTGACACATGAGTAAGTGTGTAGTTTGACACTAGGGGTCTGTTGGCTGGTAACTATTGGATAGTCCGGCGTGGATGTTAGACGGTCTGGTGGTTACTAGAACTTAGTGGGATATTGGCTCTCTAGGTCCATCAGACTCTCTGAACTAGGATCGGACCCTCCAGTACGAAGTCTGTGCTCTCGGGAATATCTCTGTGTAAAAGGTGATCCTATCATAAGGTTTCGCCAACTATGGCGAACCATCCATCAGATTAGGTCTGTAGGGTGTTGTTGGCTACTAAGTGTTCAGGCTCCACCAAATACTCTGTGTGAGTGACGGGTCATCCGTAGGAACTAGCTGCTCTTGGGTTTCTAATCTATAATTCAGCGGACACTCTGGAATATCGACGGACACTCCGCTGTACCAAAACTGTGATCTAAGTTCTCTGGACAGTCCTCTGTCTCGGGTGTATAACTCATCGGACACTCTGGTGTAGTGACGGACACTCCGGTGGGTTATAGACGTGTTCTGTGCAGGTGAGCAGTGAGACATTCAGTAGTAACAGACACTCCACTGGTGATGTCGGACCCTTCGTCGATACTGACAGTAGCAACTCGAGATCCAAATCTTCACCCATGGTGCTTGCATGTGTAAACCATCTTCAGGGTAGACTACTAGGGTTCTATAGAACATATCTAACCTATTGGTTCTAACTACATTGGGTGCAAACTAACTCTAGACCATAAATCGATATTTCCTAGGCTTTGGCTCCTAAAGACATAATTCTTGGTTTGGCTTGGTTAGATCCTTACCAAGGGCTACAAACACAAGGTGCCAAGCTCTCCAAGATGATGGAGCAGCTGGATCTCTTCCTTGGTGACTCGAAACCTTCTTCTTCTTGCCTCCTCCTCCTAGCTCCTTATGGCAAGGGTGAGATGGCTTCTCCCCCTTTCGAACCCCTATCTCTTATGGATGGCGGCCTCTAGGTGATCTCCACGGCCATCTCCTGCTGCTTCCAAGCTCCAATCCCTTCTCCTTTCTCCTCATTTCCTCCTCCTCTTACTTGCTTGAGTGTGGGAGAGAGTAGAGAAATAAACTAGAGAGAGTGGGAGTGGGAGAGTGAGTGAGTGAGCTGGTGGACTCTCTGCCTTGGTGCTTCCACAAGATGGACAACTGTGGTGAAGTGTGGGACCTAGTGATTCACAAAGTGACGCCTCACATTTCTGCATGGGATGATCCTATCGGACAATTCGTCGTGATGGCAGGCTCTCCGGTGGTGTCGGGTTACTGACTGACAGCGTGCTAGCGAACTGACGGATATTCCGGTGGTGCTAGAGGATTCTCCGTCAATTCAACAATGAGCAGTTTGAATGCAACATTTAGTTTCTAACTATTTGATTTCCAATGCAAAGATGCTTATGATGCTGATGTTCACAAGGGTATCAGGACCAAGTCGTGACAGTCGGTCTTCTTGGCGTGGGGTAGTTAGCTAGCTTTACATTCGTCACTCAATTGTTTCTTGTATAATCGTGTAATGTGTTAACTGCCCGCGTCTAGCACAATGGCACCTCGCCATTTGGTGTCGGTCACTTTGTAAACTCTGAAACTTCTTCTTAATGAAACACGTGCTAAGCACGTTCTCGAAAAAAAACATAGTTGCGAAAAGAGGAAAGAGCCTATAGGCTAGTGGTCATAAGAGCCTCAGCAGCACCTCATTAGGTCCCGGGTTCAACTCTCATAGGAGCGAATTTTCTAGGATTTAACGATGTTCTGCTTCGATGTTCCCGTCAACAGCGAGGCACCTGTGGTGACGTTGTCAATTTCGAGGATTTATCGGCCCGCTCTTCAAAGATGCTCATAGGGGTAGAGTTTTCGTGCATGCATTGTACTGTGTAATCGAAAAAAACTTAACATAATTGACTTTGGACAAAACTAGAATGCCAAGTTTTTTTTAGAAAAAGGTAATACTTCCTCTTATATCAAATACACCAAATAAAAAAAATATAAGTCCTTAACTTCATTTCACATTTTTGTTTTGTTCTTCTATGTCTGGCCTTAATTATATTAAGGCTCCGTTCGGTTACACCGTTTCTGGCCAAGATCCTGGTCTGGAATGGTTCCGGCGCTACAGAAAATATTGAAGAAACGGCAGGCTAGGAATGGTTCTAGCCAGTAATTGTGGTAACCGAACGAGGCCCAAGTGATCAATCATACCATAAACTTCTTAACAGAATGTCAGCTGCCGGTTACCTATTATTCAAACGACAAAACGTCCCTTTAAAAATGCTAAACGATCGATTAATTAAAATGGATGAATGGTCACTTTTTTTTTGATAAACATGAATGGTCACTAATGGAACCTATGGGCGGACGCCGACCCAATTCTTGGTCATTATTTTTTTTAGCAACAATTCTTGGTCATTAATTTTTTTTAGTGGAATTCTTGGTCATTAAATGGAACCTGTGGGCCGACGCGGACCTTTTCTATGGTTGCAAAATGGGCTGGGCCGTTTTCCCAGCCCAGCCCGTAGGGAGACGTTGACGAGCAAGTTAACTGCTACGAGTCCTGGTCACAGACGGATTCCATTCCAGCTTCTCGAACCTTCCTTCCGCTCCCGACCCGAGTCCCTCCCTCCCTCAGCCAGCCGCAGCCCTTCCCTTCCCTCTCTCTCTCTCTTCCGAGTCCCTTCTCCCACCGTCGCAAGACGCCCGTGCCGAGCCACCTCCCTCTCTCCCTGAAGCCTGACCGCGATTTGGGCGTGGCATCCAAAGGCGGTCAAGATTCGAGAGGCCGGAGGAACCAAGCGTAGGGCCTTCGACTCCACGTCGTCGTCCGCGCGCGCCGCCTGCCGGCGCAGGGAGGCGCCACCGCCTCCTCCGCCGCGGCCCAGGGAGATGGGGGCCGATTACTACAAGGTCCTCGGCGTCGACCGCGGCGCCGGCGACGACGACCTCAAGAAGGCCTATCGGAAGCTCGCCATGCGATGGCACCCCGACAAGAACTCCACCAACAAGAAGGAGGCGGAAACCAAGTTCAAGGAGATCTCTGTGGCATACGAGGTTGCCCGCCCTCCTCTCACTCTGCATCTGTTGCCAGGATTAATTATTACTGTTCGATTCGCCGGCGATGGGGTTTCGATCCATTCTCTGTCCCTGGGTCCCTGTGGCTTATGCTGACCAACAAAATCCTCCACTCCCTCTGTTATACCGGCCACCTATTTGGAAGTACAGTAGTGAATTCATTCGATACTGCCATCTGGACCACGCCGCCGATACTGCAAAGGATTTAACTTTCTCAGATGAGCTCGTGATAATAAAGTAACTTTAGCTAGTAGGGAGTAAGAAGCAAGAACAATTGTTGCATATATATGAAAGGGGCTCTCTTTTGATCCATATTTTAGCTTATCGGTCTGAGGTTCTGATTATCTGCACAGCCGAAGTATACATTTCGCTCCATGATTTGCTTTTTTTTACTGCTATTACTAGTTCAGTTCTTGCATCTGTTGTGTTGACCAATCCTATGTGCCACCTCTCAGGTCCTTAGCGATCCCAAGAAACGTGCAATCTATGATCAGCTAGGGGAAGAAGGGCTCAAGGGTCAGCCACCCCCAGGTGCAGGAGCAGGAGGTCCTGGCGCATTTCCCTTCTTCCCTGGCGGGGCTCATTCCACCGCTCACCATTTTAATCCGAGGAGCGCGGACGATATATTTAAAGAGTTCTTTGGATTCCCTGGCATGGGTGGCATGGGCGGCATGAGAGCGGAACCAGGATTCCAGAGGTCAATGTTTGGCAACGATATCTTCTCTTCACGCTTTGGCGCTGAGGGTTCCACCAGTATGCAGCAGCCATCGCACAAGCCACCTGCAATTGAGAATAGACTTCCAGTCAGCCTTGCAGATCTGTACAAGGGTGTGACAAAAAAGATGAAAATCTCAAGAGAGACTATAGATGCCAGTGGGTAAGCTTCCTCCATTATTTAAGTAGTTTATCAGCTGTCAGTCAGGGTTGTGCTGTGTGTCTTGTGTAAGCTCCTTTTAGAGAATTATCTCATAGTGGACTAGACTATTTACTTATTTATCCCATTATTTAAAACGTAATAAATGAATTCTATTCAAATAAACCGTAAATCCTAATCATGTTCAAATGGCATGTTAACTGGATTCAGTCGCTACCTTTTTTGAGAGAAAAAGCAGTAACTGGATCCAGTTAACATGCCATTTCAAGTAGTTCGATAGCAAACGATGAGATAGATTCTTTACCCGTTCATCAATCATGGTAAGCTAAGCTTCCTTTTAACCATTGGCAGTGATGTATTTCCCCTTTGGCTGTATGACAGAGTTGGGACCTAGTTTAGAGCTTCTCACCTACTCCCTCCGGTTCATATACATCTTGTTGTAGGATTTCTGCAAGTCAAAGCTTTTTTAACGTTGATCATCAATACGCAAAGAATACGTAGACAGACAACGTAAGATAGATGTACCTAGATTCATCATGAGAAGTACTCTCATAATACTTAAATATTATATTTTAATAAAAATGTTAGTCAAAGTGATACATTGCAAACTGTGTTTCTTCTAAATGTCATGCGCTTTGAATCAGAGGGTGAGAGGGAGCAGAATTATTTGGTGTTGCAGCACTGCCAGTCTGCCACTATACCCGTTGTTTGTGATGAAGGGTGAAGGCTACAGCAGCCCTTCCTTCATGTCAATCATCTTATTTACCTGCATAGCATAGTTGATCAGTCCTCGTGTAATTTTCTGTCTGGTCAATCCTTAGGGTGTGTACATGGAGCTGCATATGCTTCATTTTTTTTTCTGTATTTGATTTATTGACAAACTTGACCCTCTATAAATCCCAAGTGGCAATGAATAAGATAGAACAAACATTTCCAAAACTTGAAAATGAAGCAAATAGAGACAAATCCATGATTTCTTTACGAAGATTCAATTACTGCTTTCCATTTCAAGCTTGTGTTGCATAAATAGCTGCTGCTCATCAATTATACTGGTATAGGCAAAGAAAATGTGTTTTTCTGTCTCCGCGACAGTTATGTCAAACTATGAAAGCAATGATATTGCGTTATATGTACTGCAGTACTGCTATACTAAAAGGATTGCCATCGTATAACCGTCTGGCAACCTATCATGTACTGTTACTCACCTCTTGACCTATAGTGTTGCTAATTTTACTAAATGAATTGCCATTCTTTCTTTACTTTTTGTTATGCCTTACTTTTCTTGTTCCCTTTTAATACCTTGTAACCTGATCATTGCAACTACGTGAACTGGTAACATTTCCTGAGTATATAAGAGTCTAATGCTAGTTGTTTTAAAATGCACATAACCTTCCCTAGGTATGCTTTGGATATTGTATGTTGTTTGTTTCTCAGAGCAGACCTGCAAATATTAGACATTGTTTATGCAACCCTCATTTATTCTACCTGAAGATAAAAAACAAATGTTGATATTGACTTTGATTTCTTTGCTAGCTAACTTGGTGCCTTTCTGGGGGCAGCAAGGAAACATTCGTTGAACTTCATGGGCTTATCAATTTCATTAGATATTGTGATACTACTACTACTACTACTACTACTACTATTGCTGTGAACTTTTGCATTCTCTAATTATTTGGCAGGCTTTTAGAGTAGAAAATCTCCTTTAATAGATAGTACATCTCAAAGCACAAAAGCACAGGAAAAACAATTACGATAAAATTGGATTTATCTTTTTTGCCCTTTGATTAAGGGTGGTATTGTTTTAACCTTCCAGGGCTTGCTAGTTACTATATAGTATATCTCCTTTTGCTGTCAATCAATTATTTTCCGTTTGTTTTTGTTTCTTTTAGAGAGTGGTAATCTTATGTTTTCTGTATGCTTGAAGTGTATTTTCAGTCTTGATTGGTATGCTTCCTCTGTTAAATCTACTGTACTTCCAAGACATTGTTTTTGTTACATGGATGCTAATCTTAGTGTTATCAATAGGAGAATCTCAAACGCAGAGGATATTCTGACAATAGAAGTAAAGCCTGGTTGGAAGAAGGGAACAAAGATTACGTTTCCTGACAAGGGAAATGAAGCTCCAAATATGAAACCTGCTGATATTGTTTTCATCATTGATGAGAAGCCCCATGATGTTTTCACTCGGGATGGGAATGATCTTGTCATGACTGAGAAAATCTCGCTGGTGGAAGCACTGACTGGCTATACTGCACGTGTCACTACACTTGACGGGCGGAGCCTATCATTACCCATCAACTCAATAATCCATCCGAACTACGAAGAGGTAATCCCTAGAGAGGGCATGCCAATACCCAAGAACCCCACTAAGAAAGGAAATCTGCGGATTAAGTTCAACATAATGTTCCCCTGTAGGCTGACTTCTGATCAGAAGGCTGGGATCAAAAGGCTATTGGGTTCTTAGGCCGCCTCAAATGACATTTTATGATGAAAGTTATTGTGAATATTGCCAGTAATTGGCTAGGTAGATTTTTATTTGTCTAGCAGAATACAAGTGAGAAAGGATGGGAGTGTCATTCTATAACATATCTGTAACGGATGGTCATAATGTGTCAGTTTTTATCCATTATTTACTGAAGGTTTTCCGTGGGTAGTTGATGAATTGCTGAACTAATGTATTATTCTTCGCAACCAATTGAGCTCATTCTGAGTTGATGTATATGACTCGTAGAAATGCCTTCTGATTTAATCTTGGCTCTAAGGCTTTTCATTCACCACTGTGGACATCGCCAAATCGTAAGCCACCAAGTCATTTATTTATAAGATTAGGGAGAGGGATCACCCAGAAGTCCTAACGCAAGGCAATGCTGGCAAGTTCATGTGCTAACAAATTACAAGAACGGGGAACAAGCAACACATAGCAGACAAATTGCTTATGAACGAGGTCATGGATAGCATACCACTAGTTTTCACTAAGATGTGATGAGTCCATCTCAATCTGAACATGACAGATACTGTGATCTGAAGCCGCTTTTTAGACAAGCTACGGTACTGCCTCAGCCATCAAAACATCATGTACAACTTCCAGTCTACCTGCCCCAGCGATTACTACTTCACCATCCTGGTCTCTAATTATAAAACCCCTACTACTTCACCATCCAGGTCTCTAATTGTAAAACCCCACGCTCCAGCGCTTGATTCCCTGACAAATGCAACATTAGAATTGATGTTTAACAGCCCGATTGGAGGAGGTGTCCATGTTTGCACTGGTGATGGTGCTCTCACAATCTGAGCCTCCAGCCGACCATCTTGATCTCTCAAAGCCAAAAGAACAACTCTTGTGTAACCTCGAAGACAGACTGCATCTTTTCACCTGCATTAACTTCATTTCTCACCTCCCACCATTTTCATAGTAGTGTCATTATTTTACCACAAAGGTCCGGCTTCAATTTCAAGACATGTTGTACAAAATCTGTAGCTGATGAGGCTGACAATAAGCTCTGAGACTCCAAAGCTAAGTCTTGCCAGCATCGTTTGACGGCTTTACACTCGAGGAAACAATGTCCTCTTGTCGTTTTATGTTTATCTTCAAGGAAAGACTACTGTGTGCAAGTCTCCAAATAAATTGTTTGATTTTTTTTTGAGGTCAACACCTGGGGGGGGGGGGGGGGGAGGCCTCCCCACCTGAATTTCATTCCACAGATGCCGAACTAGCCGAGAGGTGGAAGGGCATGACGCCAATCCCAATACAAAGTTCCGAGAGGTTCATGATAAGGACTAAGGAGAGAGAGAATACAACACTTAACAGAACAACCACAACATAACATGATTCAGCTACCAAGTCCGCCTACTGGCCGAAGCGACTGCAAACACAACTTCCTAATCTATGCCATCACCAAAGACATACTCCGAAGCGCTCCACATCACATGCAATTGTTTGATTTTTGGCAAACAAGATATCGTCTAGATCTTTAGCCAACACCACTCTAGAGAATTAGACGATGGCCCCATGATCCTTCTCCTTTCTGATGTACCCTTGTCCATTCCCTCACATCATCCAGGATATGGTAATGCCGGTTTTACTAAAAACACCTTTTAGGTCTAAATGCCAGACAATAACGTCCTCATGTCCCGGTCTCACTGGAATCACTAAAATATTAGTTGCGTCTTCTTCCCAAAATATATCCCGTATGAATTGGTTATCCCATGTTTCAATGACTGGATCTATAAGTTCAGATACCTTAGCAATCAGAACACCATGCCTTGGAGTTTTAGGTCGTCTGGTAACCCCATTTGGAATCCAGGGATGTTCCTAAATTCTAATCTGCTCCCAATCACCAACCCGCCAAATCAAACCATTTTTTTAGAGTTTGTACACCCCGAATAATACCTAGCCCTTCAGAAGCCTCGAACAGCTAATCATTACTGTAGTATCTCGCTATCAGAAGTTTTGCATAGAGAGAATCTAGATTTTGCAGCAGTCTCCATGCCTGGCTTGCCAACATCGCAAGATTGAAGAGGTGTAGATCTCTATATCCAAGACCTCCCTT